TGGTCTGCACCTCAGAAATGGTAGGTCAGAGGACAGGAAAAGCTGTGGCATTCTACCTTTGGTCATATTCAGTGTATTTGATATTTCCTGGTACACCTCCAGCTGGTGTTCCTACAGTGCATGTTCAGCTTTAACACAGGCAATCCTGGAGTCTCAGCTGCCCTGTTTCCTGGCATTCAGCAATTCATATGTTCTGATAAATACTATCTTTTCTATAAGCTGTGTTATTCTTTTCCTCACCAAAGACAAGGATGATAAAAGACCAGAACTCTAAAAAATGAAGAGTTCAGCTCAGTAAAGAAAAGAGGATGGATGAAACCAGAGAGAAAATAGGTGGAGGGCACAAGCCAGGTGATGGTTTGGGGAAAGAAGGAAATTTGCAGATTGTAGAAAAATCATTCAGTTCTATAATGAGCTCCAAACCAAAGGTGAACAAACAGAAGCGCTAAATCCGTAGAACACATTTCTAGCTGTCAGGCAAATTTTTCTGCCTGGAACCCACAGCTCAGAGAGAGAAACTGAAGCCTGCTATGTAGAGCTCTTCCTTAAATTTTTTAAATCCTTGTTTGGTATAAGAAGGCAGAAGAGCAAACTTGTTTCACACCTTTATTGGGGTGCTGCGGTGTCTGCTGCCATAGCTGACTTTGGAACCCCTCATATGTTATGCCAAAACAGTAGCTGCAGGGGAAGGGTCAGGCTGTGTGTTTGTGTGTGTGTGCACAGGAGACTTGCTCTTTCTCTTCCTCTGCTGTGGTGTCTAGCAAAGCAGCAGGAGTGTGTGGGTACGAGGGCAGCTTGCTGGTAAAGGCAACATCTTGACTGGAAACATGAGGTGAGCAAGATCTGGTAGTCTGCTAATAAAGCAACAAAATGGCTTAGTTTGAAAGGTGCAGGTGTGTGTGCTCCATCACCTGCTGTAATTAGAACCAGAGGGGTGGAACAGGAAAGCAATAGGTCTCTTGAAAGTAAGAGTTCTGAATGAGTGTTGGAGACTCTAACATAATCATCTTAATGATTTGCTTCCTGCTTCTCTGTGGTAATGTGCATGCGTGCTTTTTTCCAATGGGAAAGGTTTTTCCCTCCTGGAAAGACAGAAAAGCTGAGGGGGAGCTATTAAATTCTGGAAGCTATATTTAGCTCAGAGCAGTTAAAGCTAGCACTGTATAATAACACTTTTAACTAGCTTATCCATCATGCAAACTACAAGATTTTAATATTTGGTTTCAGTCAGACTCGGTATTACTGTTAGCCTTTGCCTCATTCATGGAACTCTAAATCTTAGAAGGCATGTCTGTTGCAGATTGTTTTGGATAAATCACTTGCTTTCTTATATTGTCTATCACTCTGTTCCTAGTTCCATTTTTTGTCTAAACCAGCATAATCCTGTGTTGCTTCTGAAAGGGGTAGTTCTGCTTTACCCTCCTGTCTGCAGTTGCCTCATATACTCTTTTCACCTCCTGCACGCTGGCAGCAGCTTCATGTGGTCAACTGGTTCAGCAAAACAGTGTGACTAAAAATCTGGCATTTTTCCTGGTTAGTTATTAACTGGATTAATTTCATACTTTCATGTGTGCTGTAGTCATGTTGCTACTTGTTTTAGTAGATGTTGCAGCAGAAATAAATGGCTAACTTTGAGAAGAGAGAGAATTGGCTGGTTCCTCCCCAGGAAACCTGCTTGTTGCAGATTTACACCAAATTACAGTATTGGCAGATCAGGTCGTTGTTAAACTCCTGGTAGGCTCTTCCAGAAATACTCAGAAATGTGTAGCTTCTTCGGAACTAATACAGTACAAAACAGCTTAATGGATGTGTTGTAGAGTTGTTAAAAGGTCAATGTTCATTCTTCTTTTTCCTTGGGTACCATATAATTAATTTTCTCTCTTCTGCATTAAAAGAGCATCCCTCTAATAAGATGCTCACATGAGCTGTAGTCACCCCCTGTGGGATATGTTTATTGTTCAATTTATCCTTCTATTCCAACATACCAGCCTATAGATTTTTTTTCTAATGCTTGTATGTCTCTGCAAGTGTGGATTTATCTTTTGTGCCAGTGAAGTAAAAAAAAATAGTTTTAAATCCATCAGCAGTGCAGTTAACCTGGTCCGAATTTCCCAGATGATTTTAGAAAGTATGCATGTGTATTGCAAAATACTAGGAAACAAAATGCCATATGGGTGCATCCCTGTGCTCACTAACCAGACTAGGTCGCTGCAACCCAGTGATCTGGGGAGTAGTGGGGACCATGAAACCTCTTTTGGACCATCAAGTTTCAGGGAAAATTTCTTTTTGGGAGGAGGAAGACTTCCTGTGTGTTCAAAAATGTGGGAAGATTGTGGAACAACAAAGGCATTAGTTGGCTTTATGGGGTGACTAAGTGGCTGATACAAGCCTCAGTTCCCTGATAGCTTTAGAAACACCAGTCAAAAATAAGGCCCCTGCATTTGGCTTGTCCTGGATGGCGTAGAGTTCATGGATTCTGCAATTGTGAAGACAACATCGAACTCATATGCAGGGGGCTGCATAATTAAGTGGAAAATTCTAGTTATTGTTTTAGGTAACTCTTAGATTGATAAAGGCTTTAAGATTGAAATGGTGGAAGTGACAACTGCCCTTTCCTGTCCCTCAGCATGTGGAGTTGCTGCATAAAGTCTGACTTGGTGGGCTGTGTTGAAAAGCTCTATTATTTTCCTTGCTGTTTTGGGGGTTAGTGATTTACTTATTTTTAATATATTTATTTTAGAGGGGCTTTTTACAAGAACATGTAGTGATAGGACAACAGGAAATGGTTTTGAACTGAAAGAGGGTAGATTAAGATTAGAACTCAGGAAGAAAACCCTCACTGTGAGGGTGGTGAGATACTGGAGCAAGTTGCCCAGAGAAGCTGCAGCTGCACCATCCCTGCCAGCGTTCAAGGCCAGGTTGGAAGGGGCTTGGAGCAACCCAGTCTAGTGGAAGGTGTCCCTGCCCATGGCAGAGGGTTGGAACTGAATGATCTTCAGGTCCTTTCCAGTGAAAATCATTCTGTGAATCTATGATTCTTATTTTCTTTTGTAACTTTTATTTTATGCCAATGTATGTTTGAAGGTAGCACAGCACTGCTAATGGCCTCATGTGCCTAGTAAAGGAGAATATTAGGTTGTGGTTCTTTGTATCTGTCACTTTCCTTTGGGGTTTCTCTGGGGTCCCTGCTATTTCAGTGTGTTATGTAATATACTCCTGATAACAAACGTGATTGTCTATAATGTATATCAGATTTTTTTTTTTATATTACTCTTATATTGTTCATTGAAATAACACAAAGAATTAAAGGCACTGTTTTTCAGATGAAGGCTTATTGTGGGGTGATTTTGTTGCTTTAAACAGGAGAAGTTTTTTAGGATATGATTAGGTGGAAGTTTCAAATATAGAACAGCTTAATTTGTGAGTTACTGGGAAAAATGCCAGCCATAGATTTGGGAAAGTCTGAGTAATAAAATCATAAAGCTGGTTCACCACTCAAATATGTTATTATTTCAGCTGCGTCTGCCCACTGCATGCTCCTACAGGCTAAAAATGTCAACAGGTTCTTATTGGGTCTGTAATCTTAAAAGGCAGCGCAAACAAAAGAACCTTAGATTAATCTAAAATATCCAAGTTAAGACATCACAAGTTTTTTCTTATTCTAGTTTTAAAAACTTCCACCCTTTATTTTGGATTATTAAAAATACACAAGTTTATACATTAAAAACTAATCATGAAATTAAATCACAGAAGCTTGGACTCCAGACTAGCTGAGGGCAGTGGCATTTTGAGGAATGTAACAAAAAGAAGCAGCAAGGAATTGAGTGTAAACATGAAATTAGGAGTTATTAAATGTGGACAGCTGATAAGGCAGATCTTGCTCAAAGCTCAGTAAGGTGAAAACAGGGAAAATTACTTTTTTTCCTTTGAAAATATTCTAACACTTCAAAAAATACTAAACCGATGCAGTAATGTCAATAATTCAAGAAATGCAGAATAATTTAGTTCCATCACTGAAATGATGTGTGGTTTGTTGACAGCACATAGAAATAATAACTAAGAAAAAAGTTAAATTATAACAGTGAATACCAGTGTTCAATCTAGGACACAAATAGTTTGAGGAATTCAGTTTCTCATACTGATCTTGAAGAAAGATCACAAAAGTCTCAGAGCACAAGAGGAAGCTTATTGATGCGCTCTTTTTTTATGTAAATAGTGAATATGTGGTACTCACATACTGGTGTGCCTGGTGTTGATTACAGACTTTTGGAAAGATTATCATCAAGCTGATTTGGCTATCTACTGACTCAGTAGAAATTCAAATGAAATAATTGAAGAACCATGAATGTAGAGGCTAAACTAATGAGCTCAAACTGAGCACATTAAACTTTGTCATGATTTATTTGGTAGCGTTCGTATTGTGCAGAGAAGTCGTCCTGCAGGCTGCTAAAACTATAAACTTGGATAGACTTCAGAAAAGGTGCACTGGACATGCACGTCAGAACAGCATGTTGGTTTCTTCAAAGCAACAGTTGAATAATTATATGAGTTTGTCAAAGAGTAGCACCTCTGGCGTCTCTTCCTGCGCAACGTTCTTTTTTCTTTGTGCTGACAAGATGTTTGCATGGGTTCCCTGCACCCTCAGAGTTACACACTTGTGCAGAATTCTGGATCCTTGGGGCAAGAAAGATTTCTGTTAAAAATGCATTGCTCTGCTAGCGTGTTAGTAGACTAAGACTTAGTTGCTTGCTTATATAGGAGAATGTTGCAAACCTGAACTTCTAGTATGGCTCTTTCAGGAGAGGAAGATACAGCTCTTGATGCTGTATTTTAGAGAATTAATTTTTTGGGGGCGGGGAGGAGGGAGCGTAGGGGGCACACAAAAAAAAGGTAAAAATTTTTTCCAGATATTCATATATTGTCCTCTTTATCTCCCTTGTGCTTCCCAGGTATGAAACGACAATACAGCAGCAAGTTTTACTTCTTCTTTTGGTTTTCAGATCGAGCGCAAGAGTCATGTGAGCTTTCCTCATCTTGCTTAATGGAATTGCTCAGAGTTTCATTGCTGTAAAAGAAGAGGAGATTTGAAATCTTCATAGTTGGCACTGAAAGACTACCAATTCACTGTAAGTCAGTCTTCCTTGTATCACAGATGTGGTACCTTCCCTGTAGGAAAGTAGAAGTTAAATTGATGTGGAGCCTGTTTCAGCCTAGAGGAAACATAATGAAAGAAGCTGTGCAAGAAGCTTCCTGCTATGAAGAATCACTCCATTGATAGCGAATGGAAAGAGGGCTGTGGCTGGCATAGAGTCAACACTTCAGTACCCTTTTGGGATGATACATTGTGCCTAATTCTATATCTGGAAGAACTGAAGGATGTAGCAAGGAAATGGAAACCTGTGGCTGTGCTAATGTATTCTTCTGCTGAGATGAGGGTAATTGTTCCAAAATACCTCAGTGCTGTGCTACTTTTGAGGGAACTGTGGAAAAATAACATTTGTTAGGGTGTGCTGCTGTCTTTGGGTTCCATTTAATCCTAGGCCTTGGGGTTTCCACTGGTCACCTACCAGGTCAGGAGCAGACTCTCTCACCTGCTGTACCACCCTGGGTAGTGTCTCATCCTGAAATGCTCTCTATAGACTGCAGCCCAATATAGGACTTCAGCAAGGTTGAGATTGTTACCAGTGATATTGAAAAATGTTATGTTGCTGGTGGAGGCAGTTTTTAGCTGAGTGTTCACCAATTGTGAAGTTTGTCGTTAGGAAAAAGTTCTGTCCCAAGTTGTGCTGCCAGTCATGGCACTTCTGGTGTTTTACCTTCTCTGATAGCATGCAAATGTACTCGTAGTGCATCCTGCATACTTCACAATTTCTGGGTTTGGGGTAAGGATGTTGATAATACACTTAAGCTTCCTGGCAAGCTGCTTGTGCTGCATTTTAAAACTAGGTTGGTTTTTTTTTTCAGTATGTTCTTGGTCTTTTTAACCTACAGGCATTAAATGAATACTGTAGGGCACATAGGACATATAGGATGTTGTAGGTCTTACATCCAACTCACTCATATACTTACTTGCAGTTGTGGAAGGAAGGCTGGATGTTCTGAACTGTGCAGTTCTTAAAGACTGTTAGTGTATATGAACTAATGTTTTGAAATTAAAAAGCTTATGTGGATCTCTTACCTGTACAGCAGAACTTAGCACTGCTGTCCTGCACTAATTTCCCATTATACTTATACCTGTGTTTGTGTAGGCTTTGTCACTGCTTTAAGGTGGGTGAACTTTTTTTTTTTTTTTCCTAAATCTCTCAGTTTCTATTGTGAGCTTGTAACAGTTATATTTCCCAGTGAAATATAACAGTGAGCTGTATATTTCCCAGTAGGACTGACTATCCTCTGGGAAGCTGAAGATGAGTTATGAAAACTTAAGTATGTAGCAGGCACAAGGGTTGAATCTTTGTATTTTCAACTTCTACAAATCAGAAATTGGAAACGAGTCAGAGAAAAGAGCACGGAGGAGAAAATACTTCTACTTAGCTTTATTCTGCTCTTGTGAGACTCCACTTGGGGCACTGTGTAAAGTTCTAGAGTTCTCAGTGTAAGAAGGATGTGGAGGTGTTGGAACAAGTCCAGAGGAGGGCCATGAGGATGATCAGTCCCTGGAGCACCTCCCATATGAAGATAGGCTGAAGTTGGGGCTGTTCAGCCTGGAGAAGAGAAGGCTCTGTGGAGACCTCATAGCAGCCTTCCAGTATCTGAAGGGGGCCTATAGGGATGCTGGAGAGGGACTCTTCATTAGGGACTGTAGTGACAGGACAAGGGAGAACAGTTTAAACTTAAACAGGAGAAATTTAGATTAGATATAAGGAAGAAGTTCTTTACTGTGAGGGTGGTGAGGCACTGGAATTGATTGCCCAAAGATGTTGTGAATGCTCCATCTCTGGCAGTATTCGAGACCAGACTGGATGCAGTATTCGATGACATGGTTTAGTGTCTAGTGTCCCTGCCCATGGAAAGGGGTTCGAATTAGATGATCTTTCTAATCCTAACTATTCTACAACTCTGTATGCATAAGACATCATAGCTATCCTGTTCTGTTCTATTACGTTCCATTCTCTTCTGTTGTGTTTTCTTCTGTTCCATTTGCTGCACTCACAATGAGTTGTATAATGATGACAGCATTACTGGAACAGACTTCCTGGACAGGAAGTGGTTGAGCAGTTGCACTTGATGATCACTGTAGATCTCTTCCAAGTTCCAATCTTTTTCTCTCCACTTCCTTCTTTCCCAAACAGTACCTGTTTAGGAAATACCAGAGGACATTTCTTCCCAGCCCTGCGCTAGTGGAAGGCATTGAACAGGCATCATGTCTCATCATAGGCATTGGCTTTGTCACTTTGTGGGAAGGAGGCCTGTGCCTTCTGATGGGGGTGAGAGATGTCGATTGTCTCTTGGCCATTTGAGCACCTGAAGACATTTGCAAAAACCCACGTGTGAACTGGTTTTTAAAACTCTTCTGTGCTCAAACAGTTCAACTGGATTTCCAGAGGGTAGCAAAAGACCACATCTCTGACCTCAGTGAGGCTCCAAGATCGAGCCCTCGGCCTGAAGCAGGGTGCGCTCCTGAACTCCGTGGTTGGAAATCTTCTTTATGTGGGCAATAGCTACTCATTTCCTTGTGACTTCCCCCACTCCCAACCCCACCCTTCCCCCAGATACTGAGTTTTAAAAATGCCTGAGTTGTTTCTTTTGGAGAAACAGAACCAACCACAAGAGCCTGAGAACAGCAGCGCTCCCTAAGGAGTCCCTCTGGCCCAGTACTCTCTCTCCAGTGACACCCCATGCAAGTCTGAAGGAGAGTATATGGGGAGCAGAGGTCTACTTATGTCAGGGTTCAGAGGGTGCTCATAGGCCTCAATGCCCGGGACGGGCCTCCCTTGGGACCTGCACTGCAGATAGCCCCTCAGACCTAGGTCAAAGCTTGTCATGCAGAACTATATGCATAACATATCAGAGCTCTTCTGTTCTCTTCTATTCTATCCAATCCCATTGCAACCCATTCCACCCCACCCCATCCCATTCTGTTCCATTCCATTCCATCCCATCTTGTTCCATTCCATCCCATTACATCTGATTCAATTCCATTTAGAAACAAATCAGACACTCATAAGGTTAGAGGGGAAAAGAGTATTTTATTTATTTATAAATAAAGTTCTTTTATCTTAGTTTACGTTAGCTTACACTTCAGCTTAGCTTACACTTCAGCTTAGCTTACACTTCAGTTTAGCTTACACTGAGTGTTTAGCTTAGCTTACACTGAGTGTTTAGCTTAGCTTACACTGAGTGTTTAGCTTAGCTTACACTGAGTGTTTAGCTTAGCTTACACTGAGTGTTTAGCTTAGCTTACACTGAGTGTTTAGCTTAGCTTACACTGAGTGTTTAGCTTAGCTTACACTGAGTGTTTAGCTTACACTGAGTGTTTAGCTTAGCTTACACTGAGTAGCTTAGCTTACACTTCAGCTTAGCTTACACTGAGTGTTTAGCTTAGCTTACACTTCAGCTTAGCTTACACTGAGTGTTTAGCTTAGCTTACACTTCAGCTTAGCTTACACTGAGTGTTTAGCTTAGCTTACACTTCAGCTTAGCTTACACTGAGTGTTTAGCTTAGCTTACACTTCAGCTTAGCTTACACTGAGTGTTTAGCTTAGCTTACACTTCAGCTTAGCTTACACTGAGTGTTTAGCTTAGCTTACACTGAGTGTTTAGCTTAGCTTACACTGAGTGTTTAGCTTAGCTTACACTGAGTGTTTAGCTTAGCTTACACTGAGTGTTTAGCTTAGCTTACACTTCAGCTTAGCTTACACTGAGTGTTTAGCTTAGCTTACACTGAGTGTTTAGCTTAGCTTACACTGAGTGTTTAGCTTAGCTTACACTTCAGCTTAGCTTACACTGAGTGTTTAGCTTAGCTTACACTTCAGCTTAGCTTACACTGAGTGTTTAGCTTAGCTTACACTTCAGCTTAGCTTACACTGAGTGTTTAGCTTAGCTTACACTGAGTGTTTAGCTTAGCTTACACTTCAGCTTAGCTTACACTGAGTGTTTAGCTTAGCTTACACTTCAGCTTAGCTTACACTGAGTGTTTAGCTTAGCTTACACATTGACCTTAGCTGAGACTTTTGGTTACCTTAGGCTTCTGGTTACTTTGGACTTTTGGTTACCTTAGGCTTCTGGTTACTTTGGACTTTTGGTTACCTTAGGCTTCTGGTTACTTTGGACTTTTGGTTACCTTAGGCTTCTGGTTACTTTGGACTTTTGGTTACCTTAGGCTTCTGGTTACTTTGGACTTTTGGTTACCTTAGGCTTCTGGTTACTTTGGACTTTTGGTTACCTTAGGCTTCTGGTTACTTTGGACTTTTGGTTACCTTGGAGTTTTGGTTACCTTCGACATCTGTTTCCCTTAGTCTTTTGGTTACCTTAGACTTTTGGTTAATTTAGACTTTAGCTTAGTTTAGACTTTAGCTTAGCTAAGAGTTTACATAAGCTTACACTTTCAGCTTAGCTTAGGCTTGAGTTTAGCAGAGAGTTTAGCTTACTTTACACATTCAGCTTAGCTGAGACTTTTGGTTATATTAGAGTTTTGGTTCCCTTAGACTTTTGATTCCCTTGGACTTTTGGCTACAATAGCCCAAAGGAGCCCCATGAAGGGGCTGTGCTCGGCTGTGGGGGAGGCAAAAAACCCTAGGGACACTTGCTAGTCCAGCCTGGGGACAAAAAAGCCTCCCCCGCCCCCAGCTGCAGGACACGAGGGGCCACCTTCGTGGTGCATGAGCACCAGGCGATAAGGCAGAGCAGCAGGACCAGAGGAGCCCTGACAAGTGGTCACGCTCAGTGCTCAGAGGAAGGCAAAAAACCCCCGGGGACCGGTGCCAATCTGCCCCGGGGGAAAATTCCTTCCTGACCCCAGTGCTGGCGATCGGCTACTCCCTGAGCACGTGAGCGAGACCTGCTCCCGGTCCCCGGGCTGGTTATGCCTCTGAGGGGACGAGGGGACGCTGGCGCTGCCTTTTCTGGCTCCACCTGGCGCCACCGCAGGGGCTTCCAAGAGCAGCAAAGTGCCGCTGGCCTGATCTAG